ATGATATACACAGCAACAGGAGTGGCATCTCACCTTTGTCCATAAAACAGCAAACCGAGGCATAACTCGAAGATCAAGCTTGAATCAGTTTTAAACCATCTATGTTAAGAAAGCATCGCTGTCAACAAAACAAGAAATCCCAGAATTCAACGTAGAATATCACACTTTATCCACAAACCCTGGTTACTCACAGTGAGCATCAGCCAACTACAGGACAGCAGCCATTCTCGCCTCAGTCCACTCCATTGAGCCCTCGCTATTTTTGTAAGGCATCTTCAGAACGCAGTCCACACATAAGGCATTCAGATACTCAAAGGATCAGCATACAGCAAAACTCTCAGACTCCATCTACAGGCATGTTAGACTTTGCAAAGTATCTGGCATGCAGGGAATTAGTAACCACAGGTCTCACTAAATTTGATGATCAGCCAGAAGGCTACAGAGCTTGGCAGTCATCCTTCCTCAGCACCATTCAGGATTTGGAGCTGACAACCAGTGAAGAGTTAGATCTACTAGTAAAATGGCTTGGCAAGGAATCATCAGAACATGTAAAAAGGATCCGTGCTGCTCATATCACTAACCCTGAAGCTGCGCTTAATTTGTCATGGTTGAGACTTCAAGAATGTTATGCAACCCCAGAAGTGATAGAGTGTGCTCTCTTTAAGCGACTGGACTGCTTCCCTCGCCTCACGTTGAGAGAAAACATAAAACTAAGGGAATTGAGTGACCTACTGATGGAGCTTTTGGCAGCCAAGGAAGATGGTTATCTACCAGGTCTTAGTTACTTGGATACTCCAAGAGGCATTAACCCCATTGTCGAAAAGCTGCCAGTGAACCTGCAAGAGAAATGGCTCTCCGCTGGTTCAAGGTATAAAGAACAGCATAGGGTATGCTTTCCCCCATTTGCCTTTTTTGTGGATTTTGTGAACAGTGAAGCCAAGGCTAGAAACGATCCCAGTTTTGTTTTAACAAAAAGCAGCCGTTATTATAATCGAAATGAAAAACCCATGGCAAATCATGATGGTGGGAGAACTGCCATAGCCGTTCGAAAGACAAATGTGTCTACAGTAGCTAATCCAAGCTCCAGACATAGAGAGAGAGAGGCGCAAATGATCTTGCTAAGTACCCCACCCTCTGGAAAAATGTAGGGTCTTCAAAGCGAAACCACTCATGGAACGGAAGAAGTTATTAAAGGACCACAGACGGTGCTTTAGGTGCTGCTCAGTTACTCATGTTGCGAGGGAATGTCACATGAACCTACAGTGCAATGAATGTGAGAGTGATAAGCACTGCACTGCTCTTCAACCAGAGACTACTCTCCCAGAAGTGTCGCCTCCTGCATCAGTGTCACATACAGACCAGCAAAACAACTCCACAACCGAGGTAACCTCAAAGTGCACTGAAGTCTGTGGAGATGGTATCCTTGAAAGATCTTGCGCTAAGATCTGCCTGGTGCGAGTTTTCCCAAAGGGACAACGAGAGCGCTCAGTCAAGATGTACGTCATCCTTGATGACCAGAGCAATCGCTCGCTGGCCAAATCTGAGTTTTTCCAACTCTTTGGGATCAGTAGCAACCTTTCCCCGTACTTGCTGAAGACATGCGCTGGTACTACTGAGATGACAGGGAGAAAGGCAGTCGGTTTCCAGATTGAGGCTTTAGACGGTGAAGTGTGCTTAGAC